AAGAAAATCATGGACGGGTAGTAATGAGGCAAAGAAAAATGGTGCATGGGTGGTTGGATTTTTCACTATAAATACCCATGCATGCAAAGGCAATGCGCAAGCAAGAGTAGGAGAAAGCAAGAGAAATTGAGTGAGAGCTCTTGTGAGAGAAAAGAAAGAGAGAAATTGTGAAAATCCTTGTGTAGATTAAGAGGGAGTATTAGGGAGAATTTGGGAGCTTCTATACATAGAAGCTAGGGTGTTGAGTGCTTCTTGAGTGAGAGAACTTCTAAATTATTGTACTCTTTTTCTTAATAGTGGATTTATTTCTCTCTTTCTCATGGACGTAGACTTGTTGAAAGGTGTACAAGTCGAACCACGTTAAATTGTTGTCTTAATTTCTTTATCGCTTTCATTTGTGTGGGATTGTGGTGTTCGAAATTCCCAACATGTACAGCATGGACAGACTACATTTCCGAGTTGTTTGCTTTGAGTTTGGTTTGAATGTTTGTCTTAAAGCTTTTGTTTGTTTCTTAGGTGCTAGATGTAGGATGTGGGATTGGTGGACCTCTCAGAGAAATTGCTTGATTCAGGTCAATGGCAATTCGTTCTTCAGCACCATTTTTCTTTTTATCTTTTTTGAATATAAACTTTTCTGTGACTACTAATTAGCACCTAGCTGCAATGAATATCAATCTACTCTCTTGTTTTGGTCAAGTGAAGAAATTTAGTGATTTGAATAAGTCAATTATGTTCATCAGTATTGATTGGGATTTCCTCCCTGTTGTTTGGTGAATGGTAGCTACTTTATTGGGCCTTAATGCTGACAATAAATTTCAGCATTAATCTTTAATCTTTATATGATTCAAGGAAAAGAAGATTCGATAATTCTATACAATTAGGATATCTGCATCAATATGATTCATTAAGATTATCATTAGCATAACAAACAAGCAGATTGTATGCAATTCCTTTCTGTATTTGGTAGATGATTGTACTAGAAAGTGGCTCTGAAATCATGGTTCTTTGTGATTTGCAGTTCAACATCAGTTACAGGGTTGAACAGTAATGAATATCAGATAACAAGAGGAAAGGTGCATGACTCTTCATTGCTTATCTTCTTTCTTTTTCTCCTTTTTTTTTTTTTTTTTT